TCCACGCCCGCCACCCCCGACCTCGACCGTGAGTCCGCCCCCGCCGCGCGCGCCCGCCCCACGCATCCATGGCCTTCCTCGCCGCGCCCGCGCGCCTGGTGCGCCCCGCCCGCCGCCCGCTGCCGCCGTCCGGCCGCGCGTGCCCGCGCGCGCCGCCGGTCTGCGCGCTGCGCCCGAAGCGCTCCGGCAACGAGATCCGCGGCAAGGTGTTTGTGGTGCGCGACAACATCGACACGGACCAGATCATCCCCGCGGAGCACCTGACGCTCGTGCCGTCGAACCCGGACGAGTACCGCACGCTGGGCTCGTTCGCCATGTGCGGCCTGCCGCCCGACATGTACGCCACGCCGTACGTCGCGGAGGGCGCGTACGACACCGAGTTCCCCATCATCGTCGGCGGAGAGAACTTCGGCTGCGGAAGCTCGCGTGAGCACGCGCCCGTGGCCATCGGCGCCGCCGGAGGGTGCGCCGTAGTCGCGCAGAGCTACGCTAGGATCTTCTTTCGAAATTGCTCCGCGACGGGCGAACTTTATCCGTGGGAAAGTGAAGACAGGCTCGTCGATGTGTTCAAGACCGGCGATCAGGCCGTGATTGACTTTGAGAAGAGGGAGATTCGGAACACTACTTCGGGAGAGAGCTTCGCGCTAAGGCCGCTCGGGGATGTGCAGCCTGTTATTGATGCGGGCGGCATTTTCGAGTATGCTAGACAGACCGGCATGATTGCGAAGAAAAGTTAGAGGACACCGTGCGCATCAGATTGCCGTTCTCACATCACGTCGTCGGCGACTGCGCACCACATGGGTGATACGCGCGCGCCTCACATACTCACGTGAGCTTGGATGATGCTGCCGGCTAGTTTAGAGTCGTGCCAAGTGTTTGTAAAGATGGGTTTCGAGTTGGTTTCGATTGCCTTGATATTTGCCTTTTTGTTGTAATTCGCATCGCAGGGAGGGTTTCATGCTGAAGTGGGCCTGGAGTGCCGGTGATGGGAATGGGAGGACACGCGCCGATGCATGCGAGATGTTGTGACGCTCCGTTTAAATGTACCGTGCGTCTGCCTTCGTGTCAAGTTGCCCTAGTCACTGAAAAGACCACACGCTGTGCTCAACAACTACGAGCCCGTTTTACAAGACCGTTCTTGTGAAATACATAGTGTACAGCACACATGCGCTAGTACAAACCGAGGCGCACACGGGGAACGGCCCTGGTGCTGAAGACACCTGTAGTCCACGCTCGTCACTTCCCATCTGGCACATTCACGTCGACCAAGCCATGAGTAGCCACCTCGTCTAGAGTTTTCTAAACTAGGGGCTTGGCCTTTGTGCTCTGGGCCAAGGGCCCTGGCCGAGGCGTTGTACAGTATATTCAACCGCACAGTAGTATCAAAGATGGATGGAAGGTCGGGGCATCATGCCGCACCTGTTCATACAATGTACGTGGCAGGATTTGAAGGCTGGCTCGGAAGTAGCCCAAGACATGAAGGGGACATGAGACAAGCAGGTGGTCCGTCCTTGCCCATCGGAGGTTTGCAATTTGTGAGGGTCATTGTGCGAGTCAGGAGAGCGTGAAAGTCCTGGTGCAATAAAATCAAAATACCCCGGGAAAAAAAGGCAAACTTCGACAGTAGAGGCTGTGCGGTCAACCGGATGTGGTACCCTTGGGTACCACTCATACTTATAGCCAAAAGACCTTCTTTGCAAGGGCCATCGAATAGAAGACTAGCGTGGCTATGACTACGGCTGAACTGGGCAAGTACAGTATATCCCAAACCGGCCGCTATAAATCGGGCCGGCTTCGAGATAGAATAATATGGCTTCTGCTCGCGGTCAAGGTGGATACTCTGGGAGGTTGGCCACATTTGTGTGTGCAATTAATTCATGCGGGCTGGGGTATGCATTCTTGTCCCACATAGCAAGTCGTTCTCTCAGGGCTGGCCAGGAATGGCGTTCCAACCGGGGGGGTGCTGAGCAAAACCTTATTCTAAATCGGCCCACCCACACCGGGAAAAAATTAACCCGTTACGTTTTTCGAAGATGCTTCAACAGCCATTTGCGTCTTATAAGCAAATAGGTTCGTAGCTCTGGTACATGGCACTGAAGTCGCTGAACGACACCATCCCTATCTTTTACGACGAAAACATATCGAAACGAGCTATCATGAAGGCAGTTATCACCATTTGCGTACTCCTCACGCTTGAAGCGTTTGCGCAGGAGTGCCATGTTTACGTGCCGAACATGGACGACATCATTGTCATGGATACCGAACAGAGGGGTCCTGGCGGTGGATGGGAGTTTCAGAATTCCCTCGCCGGGTACCAAGGATCTGGCTATCTTGTCTACAAGCCCGACTCAAGCTTTGGAGGTGCTGAAGCGGCTCCCACAAACATGAACGACGCACGCATTAAGACTTACAGTTTCAAGGTCAACCGTCCTGGTATGTATCGTGTTGTGATGAAGTCTGCCGCGCCACATGGCACGGAGCACAACGATATCTTCATGAGCCTCCCGGAATCCGGTGCCCTCAAGCGCCAAAACGGCGTTTTATATAATCTTGCCTGGCCTCTCAACCAAAACATGGACTGGGGAGCTTGGGTTGACCCCAAAAACTGGTTTAAGGTATATCAGAATGAAGGCCATCTCAAATGGAATTGGGGTGGAAAGAATGAAGACTTCAACGGGCACGATATTGTCACTCGCCACCTCGAGGCAGGGAGAATCTACACTCTGAGAATGTGCGGTCGTTCGACGCAATTCAATGTAGATCGTTTTGCTCTGTATCATTGCGAAGACGATCAGTGCAATAACGGCTCTTACAGATACAAAATGGCGACAGAATGGTCAGGCCAAGAACAGAGTACTTGTGTAATGGTATAAGCCTTTGCTGTCCAGGGAGAAGGCGAAACCCCAATCTACGATATGCGCGCCTCGGTAGGATAGCATGTGAATACTGATGGTGGCATGTGAATACTGATGGTGGCAGGATCCCTGATACAGGCGAGTCAATTATAGTCCGAAATAGAACGCTTCAATCTACATTTGAGAATGCACAGGATATATTAAACATGGAAAGATACAGATACGCTGTATTAGCAGTTGTGTATCCACACCCGCCGAAGATACTCCTTCGTTGTGGACCTTCCTCCTCTAGTACAGTATATACCACGGACATGCCAGCATCAGCAACTTTCCTGCGCTGCCGCGAAAGAAGTCAGATGGGGCCCCGTCAGTGCCGACTACCTTCGAAGCACGAGTCTATTCCAACTCTGTTGGAAGAAATCAGTCCATGATAGTCGGTTTGAGTCCCAGGACATTTCGTACAGTGCCTCTCAGGGTCAGTAGGAATGACTGGTGAGCAGATCATATTTATTGTAGTTTGCATCTGCGCAAAGCAAGCATGGCAAGTACAGTACACTCACTAAACTGTACCTCTTCTTGATGCAAAGCGTGAGCTGTTTACACACTTGGACACAGCAGCTGTGTTGTCTGTGGACAAAGAATCATCGGCATTGCTTTGTTGAACTCAGGGTTTTCGCTTTTCCAAAGAGACAAGAGCCAAAGCATCGAGGGCAGAAATCGAAGTATTTATGTGAGGACCTTCCCTACAAACAGCTCCCAAAAATCAACTAGGTATACAGTGATGTCACCATTTCTAGCTAGATACCATACAGTTAAGTCAGCTAAAACGCACAAAAACGAACAAATATAGATTCGCGAGTTAAAGAAAGTAGACGCAGTCCTATAGGACACCCGGCGGGATAGCATCCGCGACCTGGGCGAAAGGGACCTCGAGCCCTCTCATCCGTCTTTCACAGGTGAGGGTCAACAAGCGATCATGCAAATTCTCTAACTCTCTGTTCTGCTCCGTCAAGCTTCTTGTATAGTTCTCGAGCTGCCGTCTCCGTGCAACCTGCTTTTCCCTGTACCGCCTAGCGCTCTCTTTGTTACGCAACTTCCTCTTAGCCAGCTTGTCCTTGACTATATTGACATCCACATCCTCTGCCTTTACGGCCCTTTTTGGAGACGCCGACGTCGCCACGGTCTTTTTCATGACGCCTTTCTTGACTCCACCGGTCCTCGGGCGGTCCCTCTTCTCGGTGCCGTTACTGACGCGTGCGCGATTCTCCTGGCCATCACTGGAGAGGGGAGCTGCGACGGCGTGCGAAGGCACGAGCGGGCCAGGGCCTGATGCGGAAAGAGGCATGGCCGGGATGTCGAACGGGTGTAGGATGAGCTCGTTCTTTGCGTGGGGCTGGGGCTCCGGGGCCAGGGGCGGGTCGTTGAGAAACGGGTCTGGAGACAGGAAGAGGTAGTTGTCGGGGGAGGGGCTACCTTCGGATACATATGGGTCCGAGCCTGTGAGGAAGGGGTCGGAGGACTGAGAGGCATCCTCTAGTAGTAGCCCCGTGGCATCGGCGAAGGAGTCGAGCAGTGACAGATCCATGACGGACGCGGGAGGCACCTCGAGAAAGTGACAAGCGGAGCTGTGGAAAGCGAAGTCGATGGGCGCGCCGCTTGTACGAAAGCGTAGATGAGGAGTAGGAGGGGGTTTGGAAGGGGGTTGATGGAGTTGAGTCGCGGCGAGAAGACTCGGCGGCGACCGTGTGAGAGTGGAGAAGAGCGTGCGTGGAGGTCGGGGAGGGATGGATGGAAAGTGGCGAGGCGAGTCGGGCATAGGCGAGGAAGGGCTTTTAGAGGAGGTGGTGGGCGATGCTGGGGGGGTGGAGTAAAATTAGCTGGAGGTCTGTTGCGCATGTCATGGTGTTGGCCGTTACGCAGACGCTCATAACGGTGCCACTTAGCCGCCAATGGGAGGACGGAGAAGGGAGTATGAGCATGGTGCGCCGTGGCGCATGCTCCTACTCACTACTCGTACCGGCCCCTTCGTCTTCGGCCAAATTTTAACGGAAATTTTAGAACGGGAGGTTCATCTGCGTTGTAAGTCGAGATCCGCAGTCCTGATTGGACAAATGCCCGTCTGCTTCCTCAGCCTGGTCATAACTGGTAGAAGCCCTGCTTTTGTCTGGGTGGCAAAAAGCTGCAGTTGTGGTCACTTCTCAACTTCCTTCCCCTTCTCCTTCTCCTCCTTCTCCTTCTCCTACTGCACAGTACCTGTAATCGAAACGGGGAACGGTGCGACCACACCCCTGTGACACCTTCCCATCCTTCCCAGTCCTTTTCCGGATAATCCTTGTTTCTTTTGTCACACCTTCTTTAAACATAGTTTGAACCTCACTCAGCTCTTGGACTTTCCATTTATTACAAGTACTTTCAGAAATGCTGTCTCGAGCTTATGCAAAATGTTGCTGACAAACGCAAGTACGGTCTAGAAATGGTCTCAATACAATTATTTCTAACAAGCCCAGTTAAGTTATATGTTCTTGCCAGAACAAAGAGTTGGCCTCATAAAGTCAAAAGCATGGCCTCATACGGGAAAAGATTGGGGCCTCTGGACACTAAACAAGAGGAGACTTAAAGCTTTCGCACCTCAGAGCTCGACAGGGTGAGACTCTGGGCGGGTACGATTAGAGATGATTGCTGCAACGACACCCCCCGCACGCACCACCGCTACAGGAACGGCTGCCACCCGGGACAAAGATTTCAGGCAAACGCTACCTGACGTCTCGAATTCAACCGCATGCTCTCGAGTCTACTGTAGAGCGTGACTTCAAAATTAAAAAATATAAGCGAACCTGAAATCTCGAAACAATCTCAGTATCGCGCTTGGCCACTCCTTCACAAAGCATTCTCTGCTTTCCTCTAGAAGAGAGCCAACTACTTTCGTGCTGCCCAGTGTCAGTTTCTCTTGTCAAATCCGGTGTCTCCTTATATTGTCCTCTCCATAGTTGGCCGAAACAGAATCCATCCTTCTACCGCCTCTATCGAGCTCGAGAGTCATAAGTGAAGACCAAAACTTTACTACTACTGGATATATATCTTCCGGAACAAGCATTCCATTTGTCCTCCTATGTCACATGTTTCATTCATCCTTCGTCCTCTGACGCCACATCAAAAAGGTCTGCATATTTCTGACACAGCTCCACTTGCCTCTCGTCCACTTCCAGCATTGCGTTCCCCCTATACGCGTTCTGCCACCCCACACCAAAGAATCTTGCAATATCATAGCTTTGTCGCGCCTTCTTCCTCTTCGTCCTTCCCGGCACGTCCGGAATCAGTACTGCCGCCGCCAGCTTCACCGCGAGCAGCACGTGCTCCATCACAAAAAAAGCAACTGTGTTGTACAGCAGCAGTCGCCATCCGTCCGCAGTGTCATCAAACCCAAATATCACTTGCGCCGCCTTAGCGGTGAAGACCACTAACCCAGCGTTCGTCAGCACGGAGAGCACGTTTAAGATCTCTAGGATCTCGTACCATGCCCCAATGTCAGCCGCGTCGTCAGCATTCACGCGTTGGCTGAGGGAAAGTATCTTAAACGCATCTGTGCGGCCCTCGATCAGGTTGTTCACCAAGGCAACCACTGCTGCCGGTGGAAAAGCGAGCCCGAATAGGACCAAGTAGCCGAATTGGACTACGAGCTCCCCATAGTCTTCCATGGTTGTTGTGTACGATCCCAGATGTGCCTCCTTGATATACCTATTGTGCGACGAGGAGAAGCCTGTTTGGGTGCCCCGCGCTAATTCCTCAATGTTTGCTGAACGACGACGCGAAAGCCATAGCTTCACACGGCTGGTCACAAAAGGAATGCCTATTTCTGTGATTTGGCCGATCGTTGCCTTGGTTATCACTAGCGACATCATTTGAAACTCTAGCTCCACCATGCAGTCCGGGCCGTCCCTAAGAAAGCCCTGGCGGCATGTGTTGTTGGACAACCGCGGCATTACAAAAGCGATGTAGTACAGGGAAATATCTATCAAATTGATGTACATGGGTCCATGATTGCCGAGCATAGAAAAGGTTAGTCCTCGAAGTAAGCTTTGGTGCTGTGCTTTGCCCAAAAGTCGGTTTTAGCTTACAATTCGACACAAACTGAAACGCGAAGCGTTTGAATATTAGACTGTTTTCGAACTCTTGGTTGGTTCTGTGATTCTCCCGTTGAGTCAATATCAATGAAACGCACGACCATATCGAGTCAAACACCGTAATAAGAATTCCATTCAGAATACCTGGCATAGCTTTTGGGAAGGACCCTGGATTATCGGTTTCCCCCGCAAAGAAGTCTATGATTTCGCTGCGAAACCAAAGTAGAAGAAACGTCAAAGAACCGACGAGAATGGCAAAGAAAGTTGTGACAAAGAACGATTGTATGCGCATCTTTCTCGCCTCCTTGGGGTCATGGTAGGGTTGCTTGGGGATATTGGGCACCAGAAGATTCCTATCAACAGGCTTTCTTCCCTCTTCGACAGACCCGAGGGGATTTTGTCCTTCTTCTGGCATTTCTTCGACAAGGTCTGCAAGAGATACGAACCCACCATTGCAATAGAAACCGAGCCTGATATCACCGGTGTACTGCACTCGCGTGTCGTCAGCTGTATCTTCTTTGTAGTCATCGAGGCCCCACTCAATATTGATAGATGCGTTGCGACGTTTCCAATTCTCCAGAAAAACGGTGGTCCATAACACAATTCCGATGCTGAATACCCAACGCAGAATCGCTATGACGGTTGCATTTCGCAACACCCTATATATTGTGTAGATGGGGACAGAGAGGAGAGCAATCAATAGTAGTCTTCTCGCGTAGAAGCTCACAAACACGAAATAGAAGGATACACGTGCTGCAGGGAAATTAGGGAAGCAGGACAAACCCACAAAAAGCAGCTACTGGTTATTAAGGGGAACGATACATCATAAAATCGCAACACAATGCAAAGCAAGAGATACTTACCGCCCAGGTAGTCTTTCAAAGCATTAAAGGGAGGAAGATACGTAGGGTCCCAGATGCGCTTCCATACCGTATCTGCTATCAAAGTTCTTCTTTCAAGTTCTGAGTGGATGGCAAACGCCTGGACTAAAGTCTTTTCGTAGAGAAGCAATTCAATATTTAAGCCACACCCCCAATCTTCTTTTGATTGCAAAACGTTCACGACTATCATTGCTCGGTCAGCTGGGCAGAAATATGAGTTTCTTTCTCGTTGTTGGTCATGATTGACGAACGCCTCTTGGCGTTCGAATGAGAATGCAAGATATCCACCGCCGTACTCTTCTTTTAACTGCAGCTCCATTCCTAGCTCCATCGCCTTTTCCTTCATGCGTTTCTCCGAGAGCGATACTCGGACTAGTATGACGCCCTCCGAGGGAATGAACAATTGCGAAAATACGAAGCCTGCAGACTTGAGCCGAGCAAGAATTTCGACACGTGCACGAGTTAGTTCCTCGAATTTCTTTCTCTTTGCCTGCTCTCGCTCGTCGCCAACATTTATTTCATCAGATTCGACATCAGCGTCACCGTATGCATATTCCGAATCGCGAAGATCTTTAACCGAATCGCTTCTTCTTCCTCTGTTCCCACTCGAATCGTCTTGGGTAGGGCTGTCAATATTCGCAGTAAAGAGAGCGTCTTTAATCTTAAATGAAAGCACATAGTCCCAACCCCATACTGGTTTGGCACCATACAGAAATGTGCTGTTAACAGCTCCATCACTGGCCAGGTGTGCGAGCTGATCCTGGAGAAGCCCATCAGGTGTTTCGTGATCCAACTCTGCGCCCTCGGGTCCTAACGCGTCGAAGTACATCGATTGTGATGTGTTCATACTATCATCTCTCTGCAACCTCCCTCTCGCTCGATCATTGGAATTCGCAAGATTCATAGAGGTCGGTCAAGGTTCTTGCTACAAAAATGTCGAGAGGGTGAATTAAATAAGGCTTTTTCTTTAAGAAGCCTACATAGACTTCAAAGGAGAACACGAAAGGGATTGAACAGAATCCTGCAATGTTTTGTGCGATCTTTGGGAATAGAAGTAGCAAGCTGGAAGCGGTGGTCGCAGTTGTTTTCTACACACTTTTTATTATTTTGTCAGCACGAGAGGGCTCGAATCGACGGGGGTACTTCACCGCGGGGCCTCTTATACTTTGAAAGGACAGTGAGAAGGCGCGTTGACTGTGTGTTCTGTCGCCTTGACACTCACTCTTCGGAAACACAGTACCTCGGACGCACTGTCGGGTGTTGTACGTGTAGAATGCTTCCTTTATTCTTGTGTCAATACATGTACAACGATCTTTCTTGCGGAAGACAGGTCGGTCGGCCTATTGAAGACGGGATATTATGAGAAAATGTACATCCCTCTCGACAGCAGAGGCAAGCTCTGACGGTTGCGAGCTTACGGTCATAAGTCACGGTTGACACCCGTGGCACTGCGCAGGTGCGATAGACGATTCCAACTGGATGGGAAGGACGGTGCCCAAATGAAAAAGTCAAAAAAAGCAAAATCGACCGAACGAATGAGGGCCCACCAACGCACCTCAGCTGAGGTCAATCTGTTGCATGCAGCTGATTCCGCCAACCTCAATAACTTCACCCAGGCCACCACACCATCCTGCCACCACACGAATGTCAGCGGGGCACCAACTCTGGCCAGGTTTGAAAACTATACATACATGATGCCGAAAATGGCGCAGCATGCCACAAGCGCGAGAGGCACCATACGTTTCGTCCTACCTGAAAATGGACGGAAAGCGAAGCCTGGATTTGTACATGCGCGACTTGCTGGGCTGCATCCCACGCGGTGGAGCAGCGCTTCCCTGCCCCGCAGCAGAGGCAGCGTCCTCCTTGCTTGCACCACCCTCCGGACTAGGTACATTCTCACTAGCCTCCCTATGCCGAAAAGCGGGCGGCTTCCCCACTCCCTGCATGCCAATAGAACTGCGGCGCGTGTTGAGTAGCCCATGACCACCACTCCCCCTATTCATAAACAAGCTAGACGACCTCCGAATAGACATCTTACAACTGGTATGGGCCTCTATCTTACTGAAGAGATCTCGGACAGCCGTGCGGTCTTCAGCCTCGACCCTAGTCGGAAAGGCAATGTCAAAGGTAATTCTCAGGTCGCCACGTTCGTGTGGGGATTCTCTCCTAGGTAAGCCCCTCCCCTTAACGACATGGACGTAGCCCGGATGAATGACATTATCCACGCGAATTTTGACATCCTTGCCATCCAAGCCCTTGACAACCAGAACGGCGCCCGCAAGAGCGTCGACCAGCTTGACTTGCATAAGCATGGTAAGGTCATCTGCATCAACCTCAAACCTGGGATGCGAGCGTTGCGTGAGAACGAACACGACATCGCCTGGTAGGTGTCCATCTTCGACGGCAGCATCCTTGAACCTGATCTTATCCCCTTGACGATAGCCCGGACGAATTACAATACTCAAGACTGCAGAGGTGTCGCCATCCGGCTTCTTCAAGCGCTTTTTCTTCATGCAGCCCACGTAAAGCTCCTCCAAAGTAAGTGGGAGCTCGATCTCTCTATCCTCACATCGATCCATTGTCTGCCATCTCCTTGCCTGTTCATCAAACTTTTCTCTCTCCCCTTGCCCGAAGAGGCTTTCGAACAAGCTGTCAGCATCGACCGAGTGTCCTTCCCTCGCGAACTGTTGGGCAAAGCCGTCGGCAAACTGCCTACGATAGATCGGGTCTGCGAACGGGTCATGTTGCTCTCGTCTCCTCGCATCATAGGACGCGCGTGCCTCCGGATCCGTGAGAATGTTGTAGGCACGAACGACGGCCTTAAAGCGAACCTCTGCGGCTTCGCGCGGGGAGCCAGACGGGTGCTTGTCGGGGTGCCAGCGCAGGCAGGCGGCCTTGTACGCGCGCCGGATCTGGTCCGGCGTGGCGGACGGTGGGAGCGAGAGTTCTTGGTAGGGGTCCGACAGAGGGGTGGGGTTGGGGCCGGCCATGGTCGGTTGCGACTTGCAAGAGGAAATGCGCGGCGGGGAAGGGAAGGGGAAGGAAGGGATGGTTAGGTTTGGGAAGGCGTGGGGGAAGGTAGAGCCTAAAAAAAGAAGGCGCGGTTCCGGTGTGTCCCGTCTTCTCACCTTCGAAACGGCTTACTGCCATTACATTTAATTACACTTTCTGCAACTTCTTACACCGCGTCTCTGTAATGCCATCGAAAGACGACGGTTCGCGGAGGGCTTGATCTCGGAGAGCACATCCGTGCCGTTTCCGCCTCCAACAGTCGCCGTCCACGGCTCTCATGAAACCCTTCGCCGGCGCCCCCCCCCCCCCCCCCCTGGGACATGCAGATCCGACGCCATCTCTATCTCCGCGCCTCTCCAAGCCGCCGCTATCTCACCATGGTTGCCTTCGTCCCCACGCTCCCCCTCTCCCTGCCCGGCACGTCGCGCCGCGCTGTCACATCGCATGCGTCCGTGGTGCGCCGCCGCGCGCGTCTGCGCATGTCGGGTAGTGGGGCGCCCCAACCGCCTCCGACGGAGGCCGATTCGCCCGCCGTGAAGGGCGATTCTCCCGCCAACGACAGCTCAGATGTGCGCCAGCTGCTGGGGATCAAGGGCGCGTCCGAGTCGACGTCCAAGTGGCGCATTCGCTTGCAGCTCATGAAGCCCGTCACGTGGGTACCGCTTATCTGGGGCGTCACGTGCGGCGCAGCCGCGTCAGGCAATTTTCACTGGAACGACCCTGTCGATATCGAAAAGTCTCTGGCTTGTATGTTTTTGGCGGGGCCGCTGCTCACGGGTTACACGCAAGTCATCAATGACTGGTATGACCGCGAGATTGATGCCATCAACGAGCCGTACCGCCCGATTCCGGCGGGTCTTGTCACGGAGAATGAAGTCAAGACCCAGATCGGAGTGCTCTTGGCGGCGGGCTTGGCGCTCGCAGCCGGCTTGGATGTGTGGGCGGCGCATGAGTGGCCTGTTAACTTTACCCTCACTGTATTCGGCGTCTTTGTCGCCTATATTTATTCTGCTCCGCCCTTGAAGCTCAAACAAAATGGGTGGACGGGGAGTTACGCCTTAGGCGCGAGTTATATTTCACTCCCGTGGTGGGCAGGGCAGGCCCTCTTTGGTACCTTAGATTGGAAGACCATGGTTCTCACCTTGTTTTACTCGTTTGCGGGACTGGGCATTGCCATCATCAATGACTTTAAGAGCGTCGAGGGGGACCGTGCGACGGGGATGCAGAGCCTGCCGGTCATGTTTGGCATTGACACGGCCAAGTGGATTTGCGTGGGAATGATTGACATTTTCCAGTTGCTTGTAGCCGGGATTTTGTTTGGCGTTGGGGAGAAGGGGTACGCCGCCGCAATTGTGGCACTCGTCGCCCCGCAAATGTTTTTGCAGCAGAAGTACTTTTTGAAGGATCCCGTCAAGTATGACGTCAAGTATCAGGCGAGTGCTCAGCCCTTCTTGGTCATTGGCATTCTTGTAGCCGGGCTCGCTGTCGGACACCACGGTCCACTGTGAGTTAAAGGCGCCGGTGCCTTATCGGTAGTCTATCTATGCAGATAGCTGTCGAACGCTGCGTTCAAAGCAACATGATTGAAGTACGTCAAAGTACGTCAAAGTCAGGCCGCCATCGTGATGCGTGGGCATCTTTATACAAAGTCGCAATTTTCAAGACTTGAGGCAAACTCACTACAAAGTCCGAAATGCTCTACACTCACCTTCAACCACACCCACCTTACCACACACCAGTGACCTGTTCTTAGTTTTTCTCCCAACTGCGTTATTGCAACAAACCTTAACCGTAGACATCGCTACTTTTGCGCTTGCTTGCTTGATGTCCAATCCTCAGGAATGGATACTTGCGGTGAGACGAGCACATACACAGCGTCGTGCTCTGAGACTAGAGTGTATGCTTCTGGATTCGTGTATACATATGGCAACACGTTCTCTCCACCTGGCACCTCCTTAAATAAAGCCGTCCTCCCAGATGACGGACATGTATACGATTTGTAAAGATCTCGTTCTGACAAGCCGCTATCGGAGCTTTGTTGTGCCGCTCGCACGTCTTCAGCCATATCGAACATCATTGAGGGAGGAATCGTCACTCGCGCCGGTGTATTTTCTGTCTCTTCACCAGAATCTGCGGGGAAATTATTGTAGGGGGATGGACTTTGCGATGGATCTCGAATTGCTCCGTAAGACGGCAGGTTTTGAAGGATCGCAGTACGCTCAAAAGAACGGCTCGATCTCAACGGCGGTACTGAATCACCTCCAAGCTCGAGGCCAGGACTGCCCACATCAGACATGTTGGCAGAGTCGAACTCGTCAGCAGGCGTTGTTGAAGTCATGTCGTTGTCGAAGCTCTCACTGTCCAAAGGATTTACAGAGCCCCTGTCCGAGTGACGCTCTTGATCCACTTCAAGCTGTACACGCACCATGACATCTCCAGATCGATACAGGCCAACCGCGACCGCACTGTGTTCAAGCAGCGCTTCGACCACTTCTCGATAAATTCGGTGCCCTCCTTCGCCTGCCTCTATCCACTTCTGCGGGATTCGCACGGTTCGGATCCAACACCGTTTTGACTTCGCATTGCTTCCGATACCGGCTCCGAAGATTTTGCGCACTACAGCCATGAGCCCAGGCATAGCATACTCGCGAATGAGAAGAGACATATATGTCGACGAAATCATCATCTCACCGGACGCGTATCGCTGCTTTTCAAAGGATTCGTCTCTGGCTCGGTTCATCACAACTCCTTGCACTCCGCGTCCTCTCCCCATGATGGTGTCTGCTAGGCTGAATTGCGGGCCTACACCACCCATTGTGATAGTGGATGGGTTGAGGAGGAAATTGAGCGCTGAAGTGCCACCCATGGAGGCGTTGTTCATGATGTCTTCATCGTCATTGACCACGTGCCCGTATGTACCATGTGAATGCAACGTGGGTCTTCTCCCTGTTGCGTATTGGTTCGGGTCTTTAATCCCTAGGCTTCTCTCAATTGCTCTTTTCCGGTTTGTGTATGTGCGACTCCGGTAGCCAACAAATGACATCGATCTCGGGAGATTCCCCGCCATGCTCATAGCTCCAAAGCTAAGAGTCCGACCCTCTATGGAACGTTTTGAGTCGAACCGGCTGAGGCTTAGCCCTCGGTAGCGAAAACTATTTGACTGAGAGCTTCGCAAGCGAGAAAACCCGGAACGCACATTGGCTGGCGACAGAGCGTAGTCTAGGTACGGTTCAGAGTCCTGTGCAAGATTGGCTCCACGCCGACGAGGATTGCCAGGTGCTCTTAAAAGCTGCATTGACTCTTCAGCATCCAACATGGTGCAGACAAATGTCTCAGAGCGCTCCCCGAGTAAATAGTCAAGTGTCATGATGGTGAAAATAGCCTTGGCATCCATATCGTCAATATCGTTTTTGTCTTCACAAGCAAGTATAATGATAGCCTTCGCTTTCTGAAATTGGGCGCGTTTCAACGTTTTCACGCTGAGCGAATTACCTTGGATTAGAAACAATTGTCCGGATTCATAGCCAGCCAAATCGGCTTCGTCTTCATCCGTAATTCGCGGGCATATTGCCACAACTGGTGTATTTCTTGAGAAAGGGCCACGAGCAATCCATACTCGATCAAGAAACAGCTTTAGATTCATCATGGCCATTTGCCCGATGGCACAGACAATAATATGGCCTTTCAAGACAACTGGCAGTTCGTCGTTGCCGAAAAAGACTAACTGTTGGTCCTTGTCAGCGTTCTCCATGATGAATTTCGGTCTTCTTCGCCTTTGCTTTGCCGGCTCTCCGGCATTGAATGAGACGTGTTGTTTCATTTTGGTTGTTGCCCGTTTTGGGGTAGAACGGAAAGACGTGCGCTTCGCAGTTCTTGGAGTTTCTTCAGAGTCCAGCAGCTGGTCTACTTCAGTGGGGTGACATCTTTCTCCACCAACGGCATCGGATGGCAAATTGGAAAGCCCAGTCTGGCCGGCTGGTGCCTTCGACGCAGTGCTCGCAGATGCAATGTTCGGATTTTCGCTAGAGCCGCTCGAGTCTTCCTTCTCTTCCAATCTTTCCATTTGCCGCAAAGATTCTTCAATTCCAGGAACATTCAGCCTTGGACCCCTTGAGCTGGAGGCCGGCTTTGGCAATGTTCTTTCGACGTTAACACCCTCACCTACTGCAGTTCCCTCACTTGCGACACTGACATCGGGAAGCGTAGTCCTGGTAAAAATCAGCGGCTTGGCTTGATCTTGTGTTTGCCGTCGGCCCAATGGGCTGGATGGCATGGATGATTCAGGCAACGATCTAGGATCGCTAAAGGGCTCGTTCGATGAGGATTCCGCAGGTCCCTCTAAGATTCTAGTTGCGCTCCACGACACCTCAGCAGATCGCACCTGAGGAAGTGTTGTGTCAAAGTTGTCATTTGGGGATTCATACGCAAGGGACGCATCCCCCGTTAGAAGATCCCCAGCCAAATTGTGCCTAGAAACGCCTTCGTCCGAAAATTCCTCTTCGATTGAAGGAACATCTTGAGAGTTTGCCTCGTTGATTTCATCGTCGTTGTAAAGCTCGCTCACAAGTTTAGCGATGTGTTGCATGATACGATCCAGAAAAGTGGCTGAGTGAAAGGTGATGATCAAGCCGATAGTGCTCAGATGGATAGTTGTGTCTGGAGTAATCGCTCTCCACTTCTTGTCCATGAAGCGCTTTGTTGCGATGAGAAGAACCCCGAAATCGTACATGATCATGGCAATATCGGCAAACTTCTTGTCATGGAGGGCCATGGGTAGTTTGACGTATTCGAAACGGCATTCAGATCCTATCTTATATTCGATCGACCATGGCTGGTCTGATTCCTTAGTTTGAGGATTGACACGAAGAATAAGATTTGCGAGAAGGGTGGAGAGTCCATTGCAGAAGACGTTTTCCGCCAATAGAGACATCTCGACTTCCTGCATACAAATGGCCTCTGACTTCAAATCGGAGGACCCGTCGTAGTTTGGCACAAATAACCCATCGTCGTCCCCGCTATCATCATCGTCGTCTTCCTCGTAGTCTCCATACGCAAGTGTGCGACCCAGACTGGAACCGACCCGGAGAGCTCCATCATCCAGAATATCATTTTGGGATCGTCTACCTTCTTGAGCGATTGTGCTCAAGCCCGCTGACAATGAGCCTCTCCTTGACAGCCCTTCTTCTGCCTCAGATTCACTCACATGTTCCAGAGCATATGTTATTTGTAGCATTGAATCCCTTAGGGCGCACATCGAATATATCGGGAGGTTGGGTGCGTATGAGCGGATTGTGAGAATTCGCTTTAGAGTTTCCGAGTCTTCTGCGTAAGGGTCCGGATTGTGCTGGTTGTTGAGAACAAAGACAGCCTTCGCATCATCTACCTGAGCGCGGTCAAGATCATCACGGGAGACGCATGACCCCTCGAGATAAGTGACGTGATTCCTAAACGGCGGATGCGCAGTGAAGAACTTGTTCCATGTTTCTTCAGTCCAATTGGGATTGTCGCATATCACGACAAGTTTCTTCGTGGCATTTCTGCCATCACCGTAAAACTCCTGTACGAACGACTTAAGATATTCCCACTTGACGTTACCACAGATGACGCAGTGATCGACATCTTCTGCTTTGACGAACGACCCCAATCCTCTTCTCAGACCGGATACGACATCGACGACTTGGCCGATCTTGCGTGTAACTAGATACGCCCCAAAGACAATGATGCAGATAATCCAGATACGGCCCATGAGGGTGTACGGTACAAAGTCACCATAGCCGACGGTAAAGATGGTGACGACAGTAAAATAAAATGAGTTGGCGAGCGTAAGTTCAAAAGTAGTGGTAGTTAGAGTTTGCCATGGGTCACCAAGCCTCTCGAAAAGTTGAAGGCCACATGCAAACACATAGATGAAGACGATAAACTCCAGGGTTAAGCGGGTGAGTTGACGATGAAATGGGCTTGTCTTCTCCATGAACACATTTTCCAGTGCAAGCTCAATCTGAAAGTATCGGGAAAGTACAATGTAGGCCTGAAGAAAGGAAAAATTCAACCAATCGGTTGATTTGGCCATGATAAGAGAAGCCAAGGAAAGGACTTCCATGATGGACTCGCCATGAAAGACGAATTGGAGTGGGCGAAGGGAGGAGAACAAATTGCCAATAAATTGAATTATGAGAGTAACAGCAAGAAACCGTTGGACATATAGCAGAAGTGTATCAATACTTCCCATGTAAGTGTTATAGACGTAGGCGACACAGACGCCGGTTGAAGTGACCATGCGCATTACGGCGATGTGAAATCCATATCTAGCCAGCACCTCATTGACAGCGATGATAGACGGAGAGTTGTGGATGGAGTAAAGGGCGGCTTTCGGCTTGGACAGACGTCGCAATAACGGAGAACGAGTGATGGAGTGACAAGAAAATGCCAGGATAACGAGGCCGATGTACACATAGACGCCCCGGCTGAGAAGAAGACCTACGTCTTCCCATGGCGGTGGGGTCAGTGCGGCAGTCATGTGGGAGGTTTAGAGAGGTGTCGAGACGGGAAGGTTCCAATCACGAGTATATTGAGCGTGCGGCGACATGGAGGGGGTGGTTGTGGCAGGTGTAGGTGGGAGGACCTGCTGCGGCGATTTCGTTGCGAAGGGTGATTTTCGAAAGGCGGAGGAGGGACGCTGATGGGAATGCTGCGGTGGCTTTCGAAATGAAGCTCAGAGACCTGTTTGCTCCAAAGGAAGGTGAAATGAGTAATGGCGGAGACACGGAGTCGTGGATGAAGTCTTAACCGCACGGGGGCCTCAATAAGAGTGAGTGCGTGGGCCGTTGTGACAGCGGGCACCTGACGATGTTGGGGGAGTATATCAAGCGAAGCGGACGACAGTTTGCTTCGCGCTTCGTCGTAACGTCTTGGCCGGTGTGCCTCCGGGGTTTGGTAGAGCAAGTGAACGAGGTTGCCGCCAATGAGGTTGCCGCCAATGAGGTTGGTGCCACGGGTCCTGACGGGGGGTACAGTGCGTACACTCTGGTACACGTGACCTTGATATACGGTTCGGTATGTCCTCCTGGAAGGGCCTTGCGCTAGGTCGATATTTTACGGAAATTGCGCCCTGTGTGAATCAGCTGACGAAATTTGCATCCTCGCCACCGATCGCACCTACTCACTCCTTGTTTTCTCCATCCCTTGACTGCCGTGTGCCTGTTGCTCTTCATCCTTTCATGTATCTTCTTCGCGCACCACTGTGGCTTTCACGCGAGGAGCGGACGGGACGCCATAGAATGCGTTTGTTGGGTTCCGCCCATCATCCTGCGATACAAGTACGGCACGTTGTGTGCAACCAGTGAGAGAGCAATGCCCATCACGCCCTCAGCATCTGCATTGTCCACCACATACGCCGCAATTTGTGTTCGCACTGGTTCACATTTTTCCAATTCACATCAACGGCAGCACTACCACAGTGCACTTCGGAAATGTCCATCCAATGAGCATACCGAACGAGACCGCGTTAAAACCATACAGCGAAGCCAACAAAAAAGCCTCGCAATGTCTTTCGGATGAAACGCCACAACATATCTAGCTCTCTTCAGCGCACTGACGTGCCATCAACTGTTGATTGCATGCAGCGTCCGGCGCTGCAAGCGCCTAATGACTCGCAATTCTTTTCACAAGCACGCTCCCAAATTTTTCTTGAAAAGCTTCCTCTGAAAAGCGTCTCGCGCTTTCCATCCCTGCCTCCCTCATAGCCTCGCGCTTCTCCTTGCTCATGCCGCGAAGAGCATGATTCACTTTTTCAGCATATTCCTCTGCTGTGTCCCCAGCGAGCAACCCTGTGACGCCGTCGTCGATAATATCGAGCTCTACACCCCCGCTGCGATGACCTACAGTTATCAACCCGTAGGCTTGCAGTTCGACCACTGATATACCAAAGTGCTCGTCGCGCATAGTATGTACCCCAACAGAGGCGCGTCGCAATGCAGTTCGCAATGCTTCGCGACTTATGTTCACTGCTACCTTCACCGCGAGCCCGCGCTCTTCCGCTTGCTTGCGCAGCGTCTCTGCGCGAGCTGCATCCGATGCGTTTCGCACCCCTCCAATCATGAGAAGCGTAGCCTTGAGGTGGTCGTGCTCGGCCAGCTTTTCCATCATGTCAAGCTGAAGAGCATGGTTTTTCTCCGGCCTAAACTGTCCAACAGATACAATCAAAGATTCGTTTCGAGGGAAAGCGACGGTGGCCTCTTCGCAAAAAGTCGGGCAGGGTGGAAATACAGTTTCGACACTCGTTCTTTTCCACCATACCGAGTTCAAATGATTTCTCGTCCATGATGAGTTTGCCATCGGAATGTCACAGCAAAGAGCAGCGAATGCGTAGAGATGCGCAAAAGCATGGTAGTACATTAGCTTCGCGAACGACAGTCCGGCAGAACGAGCAATGGCGGAACTGTTGTTAAATCGCGCTCTTCTCGTCCGCACAACAGTGAGCATATCCGTCGACACGGTCGGGTAATGCACGTAGGAAACAGTTTGCGCACCAAATGCTTTCGGAGTCACAAGCGAGAAAGTGAGGTTGGCAGTATCGACGAAGACATCCACTGGTTGCTCCCAGAAGGCGTGGAAACCCATAAAGCACGCCCCAAGTGCTTGAAGAAGCAACGTCAGGCGTGGGTACTGCGACGGATCAATTAAGTGAGCGCACTTGATGTCCACAGGAACGAATGAAACGTCCGCTAAATCGAGTCCAAATTGCTCGCGGACTTTTAGCCTTGACCTGTCTACTGCCTCTTCGAGCTTGACGCCTGCATCTGCCCACGCGCTGTAGATGACGAGTGGCGAGTCCGGGAACACTTTGCGGGTTGCAATCACCGCACACCATAGAACGCGTTCTCCACCGCCGCCAGAGAGTGAGTGAGGGTGCAGAAACCCGAAGGAGGGCGTTGCTTGACTCTCATTAGATGTCTCGGTGCGCAGTTTCTTCTTCCTCTGCTTGATCATGTACCTAAGCACAAAGAAAACGGCCACCAACTCCGCAAACCAACCGAACAGTGCATACAGCAGCATGCCTATCGTGGGAATTCGCGTTTCAAATTACTTTGGACAAACCAAGCTATCGCAGCATAGACAACTTGAAAAGATTCCCCATAACCATAGACCGCGCAGGTGCCCTCACAATGTTGACGTCGTCTAAGCCTAGAGTTTGCTCCAGAGCATCAGTTTTAAGGGGGAAGAAGTTGTGTAAGGAGTGATTGCTGCTGCTGCCAGCGATGAATTTCAACATGACATGGCGATGTGCCGCAGGACTGTCAAAAGTTGTGTAAATTAATTCCTTCGAAATACAGGCTGCGATTTTGCCTGAAGTACAGTACAACGACCCTTTCTACGTATGATACATACAGAGCGCAATAAAAGTTGCAGTTTTGACATCAAGACAAATGTACCGGTACTGTACTCTTGGTACAGTACCGGATCAATCCACTTCTTCAGTTACATCGTCCACAGAGAGCGACCCTGGGACCAGAAGGCAGGATCAGATCAGTGTACAATATGAATTTGCCAAGCACAAAGCACCTCAGCCATAGGGATCCCTCCTATGTGCATGAACGTGTAGCCCCTATGGAGAGTGACCAGGGCTGAACGTTATCGAATGACCGCAGCTTCATAGTGTAAACCGCTACCAAACAGACATCTTTCTGTCCATGCTCATGCACTATCGGGAATCAAAGCATAAACAAGAAAAAGATACAGACGTTAACTTTTAGTTTACGGTTACGAGTAGTAATGCAAAGACCCCTTCTTCTTAGCCTGCACCGCCAACACGCCCTCGACAAAATCTTCATGCACAATTTCCGATCGTTCATTACGTAGTGCAAGCATGCCAGCTTCAACGGTGACCGCCTTCAACTGAGCCGAGTTGAACTGTTGACACTGTGCAGAGACCTCACTAAAGTTGACGTCCTTATTCACATTCATTTTTCTCGAGTGGATCTGCAAAATTCGTGTTCTAGCCGTCTCATCCGGCAATACAAATTCGATTTTGCGATCGATACGCCCAGATCTCAGCAGCGCGGGATCCAAAATATCAACACGGTTGGTCGCCGCTATCACCTTGATCTCATCGTCCGATGAGAAGCCATCCAGCTGGTTCAGCAGCTCGAGCATAGTACGTTGCACTTCGCGATCGCCGCTAAGTTCCGAGTCGAAACGCTTTGTCCCAATGGCATCCAGTTCGTCGATAAAGATGATGGTTGGGCCCTTCTCCTTTGCGAGCGCAAACGCATCGCGGACAAGCTTTGCTCCGTCTCCGATAAACATCTGCACAAGTTGCGGACCGGCAAGCTTGAGAAAAGTGGCGTTCGTTTGAGCCGCGCATGCTCGCGCGAGAAGCGTTTTACCGACACCAGGAGGTCCATACATAAGCACGCCCTTGGGAGGGCGAATACCGACGGCGTCGAAGCGTTCCTTATGTGTGAGGGGCAGGACGACAGCTTCAATAAGTTCCTGAATCTGCTTGTCCAGACCACCAACTTCGGCATACGTCTCCGTAGGCTTCTCATCGACCTCCATCGCCTTGACGCGCGAATCGTATTCTGCGGGGAGCTTTTCGAGAATCAAGTACGAGTCCTTGTTCACCCCGACAAGGTCCGCTGGCTTGAGTTCCTCTGCCGGGACGAGTCCAATAACCGGAAGAAAGATAGTCTGCCTGGTGGAGGTCTTGAGCACGACGGCCTTCCCCTTGCGCTGGGAGTCGAGATCGACGTTAGCGCCATCCTCCTCCTCCTCCTCCTCGATGTCTAAAATCTCGACGATGTTCCCGACTAGATACGGGAGCTGCTTGTTGACCTTCACCTTTTCGGTGTTGTCCTTGATCTTCTTAGAAAGGTCACCCTTTTGATGCGACAGACGCTGGATTTGGGTTTGCATAGCCGAGACCTCCATGTCAAGCAGACGAACGCGGCTGAGAATGTCGTCGGTGGGCATGTCGAGAATTTCCTGATCGAGGTCGCCGTCCGCCATGAGCTCGGTCGCTACAGAGTTGAGAGCTGCGGCCGCCATGGTGTTGGTAGCGGGGGTTGCTGGTTCGCGATTCAAGGGTCTCGGGGACGGTTCGTGTGAGCGGCTTCTCAGATGCTTAGCTTCGTGGTGCCGCGTTCGGAAGCGGAAGGCGGCTGACTGAAGTGAATCTGGGAGGGGTTGGCAATCGGAGGAAGAATTGCTGGCGACCGTGAGGGGTGTGTGCAGGCGGGCAGCTGTGCATGGAGACGTGCTGGAACTTCGCTTGATAATAAAAAGAAGTCATACTTTCTTTTGTAATTTCTCTAGTAATTGCTTCATCATACCGTGCGCCATTTCGCATTTAATTACTTCCGCGCCGATCCGGTCTCAGCAGCACCACAACAGCCCATCCCCCCGATCTTGCATCTCGGCATCGTTCACACGCACCTACCTTGCGATGTGGTCCCTCCTCCGCTCTGCCCGCACGCCGCCACCCTCTCTCTCCCTCGCCACGGCCCCTACGCGTTTCTTCAAGGTGGTGTCCGCCCTGAAGCGGCGGTGTCGCGACTGCCGGATCGTACATCGTGGGAAGAAGGTGTACGTGCTGTGCACCGAGAACCCGCGACACAAGCAGCGGCAAGGTAAGAAGGGATCCCTATATCGTGCGTCCTGATTTCCGGCTGGTGAGAACTGTTGAGGTGTGCGAGAGGGAGGCGTTGGAGGCGATTGATGTTCGCGTGTAGGCAGGAGGGTTGGATTGGGGAGGGGAGGCATGGTGGGAAGGTGGCTCGGTGGCGCGTTTGTATTGAAGGGACCATACGCAAAGCGCACTACAGAGGACGAAGCGAGGCGAGAATGGGTGCAACGTCGGGAACAGACACGTTTCTCCGTTGCGTGTGAGGGTGCACGAGACTATGGGCGTCAACAAGGTAACGAGAGGTCATGGAATCACTGATCTGTGTAGTATTCATTGAGTCGGACCTGGCGCGTGTCCGAGTTGTATACGACGAGGACATGGGTTTGCGAGATGTAGATGCAAGAAAATGTATTGAGTTGGCGCGGGGCGTCCGCTGTAACGTTAACGTGGGAATAAAGCGCGATGGGGATTTTAACATGGGGCGTTGCGAGAGGAGAGGCGCGGCGGGGCTTGAAAGGAGAGGGTGGAGAGGAGAATTTCGAGAGGAGGGAGGGTAGGTGGTAGCACAATTGAGGGAAGGCATGTGAGCAATGTGGGCGCATGTGCGAGAGGGGACAGCGCAGAGGGAAAGGATGTCGGATTTGGGAATATTCGGGGGGGGGAAGCGTGTGTCGGGGATCAAGCGAAAGGGAGCTGAGGATGCCGGCGGCGGTGCAGCGAGGGTGGGCTGCGTGGTGCGGTAATGCAGCTGGAAGCGGGGTGAATGGTGGTGAGCGGTGTTGCTGAAAGCGGAGAGTGGAACGGGGGGGAGGGGGGGGGGGGCCGACGCGTCGAGTGGGGGGGTGATTGGAGTAAAGTACGCTGTAGTTTGTCTCTGTCTCTGAGGTTTCGGTGAAACTGTGCAGCGATGCGGGGTTGGCTCGTGCACGCTTGTTCGTGCGATTGGCGGGCGCGCATCAGCCGAAAACGCGCCACGCAAACGAAGCGAACCACTTGAACAAGCGGGCGGCCCCCGCCGCCATTGCCTGCACGCGATCACGCCCAGGTCAACCCGTACTTGTACTGCTGTGGTTGGCCCCCACTTCCACGAATACGCATGGAGGTCGGTGAGCACCGTTGCTGTAAGCCGTGTCAGCCAATCGGGATACATCCGTTACACGTCTTTGAGCCCATCTTCCCGGTTGTCCTCGCCACTTGTCCCTTCATGACTGGTCTTGCGGCGTGGCCCGCCCGTCGCGCTAGCCAAAGTCAACCTGCCTTGCCGCACCTTCCTAACACCTGCCCCCTCTTCTCACACCCCCTCCTCTCTCACCCCCCCCTTCTGGACACCCCCATCTGTGCTTCCCCGCCTGTTCGAGCACACATCCGTGTCCCCCCACCCCCGCTTCCCCCTCTCCTTTCTCCGCACAGACTCTTCCTCTCGAACCCCCCTCCCCTTCCCTCCGACGAATTCACTCCCCAGCCCTTCACCATCCTCTCTAGCATTCACTCCCGCCCCTTCTCCTCTGCCCCGCGCACTCCCGCGCCACCCGGCCGGCTCCCGCCATGGCCCGCGCCGGCGAGTGTCCTGCCTGCTCGGACCGCTTCGACCATGAGAATCGCATCCCCATGGTCTCTGTCGTCTGCGGCCACTCGCTCTGCTCGCTATGCATCCACCCACGCAGCGCCCACCGCGCTCCCCTAGAAGACGACGATGACGCCGCCTCAATCTCCACTTCCTCCTCAGACGCTGAGCACGACGACCTTGACCTTCGCGCTTGCCCAGTCTGCGCGAAACCGCTGGCGGGCTTTGTGAAAAACTTCGACGCCCTCGCCGCTCTGGAGGCCGCAGCGCGCGCCGATCCCGCCGCCCAATCGCCTGCCATCCAGCACAGACAGTCGGAAGGCCCGGATCTTACCACTGTCGTCCACGGCGATCTCGTCATTCGCCGTGCGGACATTCACTTCAACCGCTCTCCGGCCAATGAAATCGGCGTCGGCGCGAGTGCCGTTGTGTATCGCGGTAAGTATGCGTCCCAGCCGGTCGCCGTCAAGTGTATTAGGACCATGAGCGACTCGTTCGCCACCGAAGATCGCTTGCGCCGCGAGCTGCGAAACGCCTCCAGGCTGAGAAATCCACATATCGTCGAGTTTCGCGGCGCGGCGTGGGATCACGAGGCGGGGCCCAACTCGCCGCGGAACGTCCTCCTCGTCACCGAGCTCATGGCAGGCGGCAATCTGAGAGAAAGCTTGAATACGCTCAAAGCAGAGACGGGGCTCTCCTTGGAGAGTTTTGTTCGCATCGGCCTCCAGATCACAAAAGGCATAGAGTATTTGCACGCCGAGGGGCTGGCTCATCGCGACATTAAGAGCGCAAACATTTTGCTCACGGAGAGACTCGGAAAGGGCTCCACACGCTTTTCGGACCACGTTCGCGCCAAGATTGCTGATTTTGGTCTGAGCAAGTACATTGACAAGGCCACCGGCGGTGGTACTGTTATGCAGAGCATCATGGAACCAGGCCGCCTCGAAGCCACCTACGCCTATCTTGCTCCAGAAGCATTTGGCGGCGATAAGACAAACGCCATCTCGCGAAATGATGAGTCCGACGATGATGACGGTAGGTACGATGAGATGGCGAAGAAGCGAGATATTTACGCTTTAGGCGTATTGTTTTGGGAAATGCTTATGGGACAGATTCCTTGGGCCGGTGTATCTCTACCAGACGTCTATGTTCGCGTTTGCGTAAGGTCGGATCGCCCGGGGCCCGCTCTAGATGATGCCAGAGTGTCTAAGAGCGTCCGTAGGCTTGTCGAACGATGTTGGGCGCAAAACCCAGCGAGAAGACCTTCAGCGAAGTCCATTGCTGCCAAGCTCGAGAAGATCGCTGTGAAGATCGGCATGGCTGCGGATCCCACCAGTATGACCTCGAAGAAGAGCAAGAAAGCGAGTGCGGCCGCTGCCGCAGTTGAGGCAGTCTCCATGGTCTCTGGGCAAGCGCCAGCTCAAGTTCTTGTCATTTCTGGAAACAACTTGCCAGATCTGCATGCAGATCCACTCAAGGATCTCCCAAATGATCAAAGAGATTTGCATCAGGGACAGACCCCAGTGGACTCCCTCTTGTCTTGTCAGAAGATGCCGTCCGCGTCAACTGTTTATACAACTCATACAAAAGGTTCGAAGACTCAATCTACGAATGGCTTCGAGGCAAGCGATGCGAGAGACACAGATCGTGCTGTAGATGACATCCCAAGCCATTTTGACGATGACGCGTGGATTAATGACGCAGATGGACAAGGAAACACAATAGGAAGACAAGGAGCTCTTGCCGCGTCCAGAATGGTTCACACATCCAGCAATGGTCACCACCCTACGAGTTACGCTGCATACCACGGTGTTACATCGAATAGATCTTTTGGTAACAAGAGTGCACACAACACCGGGCACCCTGCTGATACCGGAGACAGCAACGACCCGTCGTTCTTATCCAAAAGTGTAGCTCGACCCCGATACTCTACAGAAGCAGCTGAGAGCAACATGCCACGCGCTCATTCTGGCGGATCAGGACTTGCGCACTCTCAATCCACGAATCACAACGTTTCGGGCAAATCGAATGCGAATGCAACTGCGGTAGCGGCCACAGCCGCTGCGATTGCGGCAGCCAAGGACCGCGAGAGAAAACGTGATGACGTGCGAGGAAACCGCGGCCCAACGACCAGGGTTACTCGCCCAGTGACGCCAGCAGGTGTGCATCCAGCTGCCGTTGGAGATACCAGTATGCATTCTTTGCACACTCCGGGTGAGACTTGGCAAAGAGCAGCAGCTAAAGATCGAGCAGTTTTCTACGACAACTCGGATGAGGAGGCTCAAGATTTCGACCCCGAGCGAGCGGCAGCGGAGGAGGCTATAGCAGCGTCATCTTCGCCTTCCCCGGCGCCGGTGCCCGCACCGGTTCAAGTGAGCGCTGCACGACACGCCAATGTGGTTGGACGACCTCCTCCGCTGACTCAGCGCTCTTCCTCAATGAATCGAGGCACGCCACAGACGAAGTCGCCTGTGGTTCGACGCCCAATGTCCCCTGCTGTCGGACGCCACGTGAATACGGGTGCCACTAAAAGCAAGGTGCAGGAAGATGAGGCATCACCGAAAGTGGTGGTGGGAGGCAAAAGGACTTCGGATACAGCAACACCAGTAAGAGGCGGCAGAGAAGTGCAGCGGCGGCTCGCACGGACAATGTCTGCATCAGCTCAAACCAACGCACAGAATAACCGAGCGCCACAACTCGTATCCTCTTCGTCTGGTGTTGTGCAACCCAACACTGGGACAACAGAGAGCACAGGCAAACGTGCATTCATTCGCCGTATGCGATCTACCGAGTCCAGTCGGCGAATGGCGAGGAGCTCCAGCGCAACAGCAGTTGAAAATAAGCGTTCGTCACTGAACCCGCCATCATCCAAAGCGCTGATGTCACTTGCGTCAGATCGCGTCGCGAGTGAAGACGAGGAAAAGAGGGATTATACCGTAATGCAGATTGGCGCAACTCCGAAAGAAAACTTTGGAGCAACGGTTGGTGGGCTAGATAAGGCAGGATTAATTCGACTCTTCTCGCAGAAAATGATACCTCTACGGCTCGCGGCTTTGGCGCATGCTTCTCTAATCAGTCAACGACACCGCAGTGAGGAGGAGGTGCTTCGAAATGCGTGCGCTATCCTTCATCGGTTGACTGTGCCAAGGTGCTCCACACCATCGAAGAACAGTAGTGAGGAAATCTCTGCCAAAGAACAGCTGACTATCCGAAAGTATCTCAAGGGCAATCAAGGTGTTGAGGCTCTATTGCAGGCAATGCACCCTCCTCGGCATCGTCATCCAACTACATTGTCGTATGCACTACTTGCGATTGGCAACTTAACAGCATGGGATTTGGAGGCGCACAAGCAATTCCGAAGTTCTCACGGAGTTGTTCAAGTGACACAGGTGATGCAATCGCATATTGGAAACGCAGGTGTCCAAGAAAAGGGGTGCTACGCACTGGCATGTGTCGGGGCTGCCTATCCGCCGAAATCGAAAAGTATATTCGAAGAAGCGGGTGCATTGGACATAGTGATTGAGGCATTGTCAGGGGTTGAGCGAGAATCTCCGAATGACGCCGTAACGAAACAAGCATGTGCAGGATTGGGAGCTATGTGCTCCTCTAGCCCAGACAACGCGTTTTATGCGGGAAGAAAGGACGCACTGAAATTCTTGGTGACGGCTTTTGAAAGGTTTCGAAGGTATTCCCGTGTAGATGGCGGAAAGCGAAGTGAAATGCGGCTGGTATGCAAAGCGTTTATTGATTTGTTATGCAATGCGGAGAACCGGAAGCTGGCGGGGTCCAAAGGTAGTTCGATGATAATTCGTGCAATGCGGATCTTTCGACTGGATGCTGACTTTATCGAGAAAGGGTTATCAACGCTAGCAGATTTCTGTGCGTATCAAGCCAATGGTATCCAAATTGTGGAAGCTAAAGGTGTTGATGACATTGTAGCGGCGATGGAACGGTTTCGGATGTCAGAAACTATGCAAAAGGAAGGGTGTCGAGTGCTAACTCTATTGATCGAGGCTACTGGTGATCAAGCGCGACGGCGACTGGTTCATGCCGGAGGTGCAGAATCGATTGTGCTTGCGGTAGAAAGATTCGGGACGATTGGGGAGGTGAATATCTCGCTTGTAGTGGAGTGCTTTAAGAGCTTGTATACGTTGTTCCAAATGGAAAATACTGCAGAAGGAGAGGTTCTCGGAAGGCGAATGAGGAAAATCAAGTGTGACAAGGCTGTCAAAGCTGCGATGGTTGCTCATCGAGGAAACCAAGTGATTCAAAACCGCGGACGGGAAACAATAAAGCAACTAGGGACCCTCAAAGGCGGGGGTGGGCTTTGGGGACGCATGCGTAAGCGGTAGGCTTGGTCGGTGGGGAAGTGTAGTATTTGCAGAAGGATGATAATTATGTTTTTAGGCCGTGGAGATGAAGGGAGAACACCCGAGGTGTCAGTATCTGTAACGTTATGGTACTGTGGAGAGAAAGATTAGCAAGATTGCCGCTGCGCATTGGGGAACTGTTTCGAGCACAGGCGAGATGAAACGAGAAACTGAGGAAAGCAAGTCCACAAGGCGAAGAGGTATGACGGGTTGGTTGGGGGGGCAACTGGCTATGTCGGAAGGTACAGACAAGTAGGTCTTCCGGCTTGTATACAACCTTTTTTATTGTATTTGTAAACGGTGTCGAGAGACTAGTTTTGTTCTGGGGTGTGCTGCGACTAGACGAATGCGACTGGATGGGATAATTGCGATGATGCAAGCTGAACTGGAGTTAAGATTGGGAGTGCGGTCGTGAGAGAAGCAGGCCCGACGGTGAGTGGCCGGGTGGAGAGAAGTAGGGTGTGTAAGGATGGGGAGGGGAGGTTCGGGCTGCTGCAACGCGAAGGAACAGCACTGTAAGTAGGACGGGGAGCGGAATTTCGGGTTGCAGCAAGGAAGGAACAGCACTGTGTAAGTAATTAGTGTTGCCGGCAATAACGTGACCAGTGGGATGCGCAGTTTTGTCTGGCCTCGTGTAGATAAAGGTGCATTTCAGCTCATTTCTTACGACAGCAAGACGCATGATATCTTCGTTGGTATCTCTCGGCACTGGGAGACACAAGTTTGACGCACGGGTGTCGATGGGAGCATGAATTTCGACGTTTCGCATAGAATGGAATTGTGATGCATTAAATTAGTCGGTGAGAGAGCCAGGAGGGACGACCGTCCGTCGAACAGCTGTGCATGCTGTCTGAGGGTTATCAGTTCATAAAATGTTTACAGAGGAGGGATGCCTTCTTACACGTGGACAAGTGCATTGAGCTGTATGGCCGAGACAGAGGAGGGGTTCCCCAAGGTCTCTGGTGTGCACTCGGTGCTCCCTTCCGTGTCAGGTTTCGATTCGGCAGGCGGAATTCTATAAATTAGTGTGACCACGTGGCGCCCCGAAACTCCCTGGGAGAACGCACTGGCCCTTTTCTCGGAGAATCCAGTGTCATGCGCAGTATATTGTCCGAAGACACGTGTACAGAACCTGGCCGAGTCAAAATGATTACTGTTACCGCACTGTTCCAACAATGACGTGTGCACAAGCGTTCCGTTAGGATATTTATAGCAAGCTCAAGCGGTACAGTGTAGTATGACAGGGCTCCTGACTCTCATGCTCAACTGCGTCAGTTTCGCAAGTAGCCGAGCCTAGCTAGATGAGGCTAGATGAGATACGCCCTGAGGGCGTGTGTATCCCGGGCCCAGCGGGATGACGGTGCTTGGCATGGCGAAACACTGCACAGCCCTACTGTACATACCTGCGGATGTCGTGCTTAACCTTCGTTGATTTCGGACACCGGTTAATGGTGAGGGGACTAGTGAAGATTGGCCGCGGGAAATGCGCAGAGTACTAGTTACAGAAGTAGTTACCCATCGTGTCGTGCGCTCACTTCAGTCCACAAGGGCTCAAAACTAAGGACACCGAACACCGAGGCGCCTCTGGCGCCTCTTAATAAATCTTTTCATTTCGACAGCAACCCAGCTTCCGCTGGTGACAACATACGAGTACTGTACCCTTACTACTCATGGGGGGATAAGGGGGCAAATCATCTGTCATTACAGTTGTCGACAGAAGGATGGGGCACAATCCGTGCCCTGAAAAGCGTATCTGTTGACAGAGTGCTCACTTTTCTGGGGGTACACAGTCATAGACGGTACTCGACACGCAGCAAATTACAATGTGGTGCAATGCTGCGGTACGGCCCATGCGAGACAGTTTGATTCCGCAACGAGCATTGTTTTCTTGCCGTGGGGCGGCGCCAATCACGACGTGGGACGGGGTGCGCGAAGCGCGTCAAAAACAGGTTTGCATGATTTAATGATTTTAAGCCGAAAAATAGCACGGCGTCACCGTGGTTACATAACTGAATTGTGATCCCCGGCAAGGCGCGCTGCCCTGAATGAAAATGATGCCGCATGTTTTTATTCCAACTGTCAGTTGCCACTGATTGACGCCACTTTTTCTGTCCTCGCAGCGTTTGATTCTCGCCTGCCCAATGGTGAATGCACAAGTGTTCTCCCGCTCCAGACAGCCGTGGTGCCGCGATCTGGTCGGCCCAGCGCCGCGACCGGAGCTAGGGGGACAGGAAATACCCTTCGAAGGGTAGCTGCATTCCATGAGCAGCACGGTTGCCGGCTTGGCACCGTGCACTCTGATTGCGTGCCCTTATAGCCCCTACCGTATGTTGGCTTCTCGTTACCCACACGAGTGGACGGTACGGGGAGACACTGCTCAACCAACGACATTCAACGCGTAATGCTCTTCGGTGGAGTCATGTAGGGAGCGAAGCTCGAAGGCCCTCGCTTCAGCAGTCTGTCATCGAACGAGAGACACGTACAGCACATGGGTACCTTCCCCGACGTGACCTTGCGCAGGAAGAATTGGCACCTACTGTACACTGGGCCCGTGTCTTTCACGGACTAACAGCTCATCGGAGAGAGAAGCCTACAATGCCTTACCGTGCGTTTAGGGGCTCGGACGCGGCCTGCAACGCGAAGCATGAACAGTCGAAGGGTGCTGCTGTTCTCTCGAGACGGGCGAAAGCTTAAAGGATAGAAAAGAAAGACCAAATCGATAAGTGAGGCAACCGCAGTATACAGTAATTACCGTCTCCATACACTGTTCGACTCGTGCAATAACCTACCTAGCCGTGTGTCCGCAACGCCTGCATGTGTGAACACTTTCCACTGAAAGCGCTGCATGTCGTGGACCAGGTTCCTTCTTTTCAGGTTCCTTCTTTTCAGGTTCCTTCTTTTCAGGTTCCTTCTTTTCAGGCAAACTGCAGTCAGTTGTTCTTGGAAGAGGGCAAAATGTAAACATCCTCGTTCGTCCTCACTTGTATTTTCCGAGGGTGTATCTAAGACTCACAGGTCAGCCGTCCGCTTTTTCCAAACAGCGGAGCTCAAGGCAAGTTTTAAAGCCACTTCGCTCTGAGCACCCACGTCAGTCGTTTTCTCGGCGACGTGTGGATGTACGGAACGCTGTACTGCTCACAGGTCGGTCAGACACGCTGTGAAATATCTCACCAAACCGTGGTCGTACTGTACAAGCAATGTAGTCAAGAGGAGATCAACAGCCTAGTAATGTTTATCGGGCTTACAATCCCACGGAAACGTCAAAGCCGTGGCACAACGGCCGGACCGAACGTAAACCTCGTCGCACTCGCAAGAAAGAATTTAAAAAAAACGTCATTCTGACATTGTCAAAAGCTCAAGTCTCCTTTTAACAGCGACTACTGTACCACCGGTACCCAAGGGTACTGTACGTAGAGCACCGGAAAACGCAACCGGCCACAACCCCCCGTTGGTTAATTCAGGTCACGTAAGATATTTGTGTACCGTTGGTACTGCATTCCTCAACAGCTGCAAACTATTTACTTAAAAGACAATTCAGCTCCCTTGAAATAATTGAATTGATTCTAAAAACGAAGGCATATTAATTTTTTATTATTTTAGGTAATGATCTCCGCATTCGTTCTCTCGTGTTCCCGGGGGGCGAGGCCTCCACCCCTCATACTCAAAAGTCCTCGCCTCTCTGGATGTTTCTGGCATCGCAGCCTTTCATTACTCGCAACCACGCCTCTGTCCGTACACAGACTATCTTACGGTGACTTGCGAGAATTGCAAACTTGCATCCTGGCACGCTTCTCAGACCCCCAGTTCATTCAATCGCATTCGCCAAGGACTTAGGCCAGACTGCCGTCACTTCGAGCCTATTCCCCTGATCAACGACCTCCAAATCCCTCAAATTGCTCCCAGTTTTCAAGAAAGTGTGTGCAACTGTTCCTGTCTTTGTGGTGTTTGCTTCTCTAAATGAGTGCGATCATCGCTTTCCTGACACCACTGCTCTTTGCTTACTGCCTTTTCTTAATCAAAGCTTCCTCGCCCTGTGAATGCCATCCGTCTTGCGAGCCGTTCTCAATCCTATATTGCGAATTTCTGCAAATTGAATTGAACGACATACAGCAGCCCAATAAACAATCTAGATTTGCGGATGCAGTATTCCGTTTTTAGGCCTGAAACCTTGCGAGCGCGCAAGCAGGCACCGCTCTCGAGTCACGACCCTTGCTGCTGACGTCGTACGTTTTGACTTACCTGCTAGCTTCCATCTTCCACATGCACAGCGGAGACAGTAGACAAAGCATTGTCGGTCTCCACCGCCCCTCCCCTTCCACCAACTCAAGATCACAGTTTTTGCATTCGTTTCTTTTTGCAGCTCGGGCCCTTGAGCCTTCGCCTCCACGTATTCAACTATCCTGCATCGAGCGCACTGCCTGGGACCCTCGGCTCTGCCATTATTGTCCTCCCCACAATCAAAACATATCAATCTCGCAACAGCTTGCACTCTTCCGCAGTCTTCCTCTCTCATACGTCATTGGTACAGGACCATTTGGTGAGTGCGCACGTTCTACGTGCTGCGTAGTATGTAGGCAGTACGTAGGACGCACGCACTGCGTACGTCCTACGTACTGCCTACATATTCTACGGCACGTGACTTCACCAAACCGCAAACTCTTTGGGTTTGGGTCTACAGTTACCACCACGCTTGTGTCTCCGCACCGCACGCACATCTAAAAACAACATTATGTCTCTTCCAGTAATGTCTGCTGTCTAATAAAAGCGCGAAGACAGCTTCATGCATCTTCCTATCTAAAATGAGCAAATGTCGGAGAATTATGAACACTCTTTTCGGTAATGAAACTACTTCCTATATTGCTTTTCAAGAACAACATTCATTCGAGACCATGCATCACTTCCTGTAAAAAGACAGCGCGCATATGAGAGCACATTGTCCATCTCATGACTTTGTGCCAGTCGCAATTTGAACCTCACTGCGCATTGAACGGACAAGGGGATTGTTTTCCCAGTGAGGACAACTTGAATGTCGATCTCAGAAGGACGCGCTTTTTTTTTTGCTTCGCCTCTCTAACGGATGTAAAAATTATTCCCCACTGAACCAAACACCAAAGCAGACCCGGGGTATACACCCGTGGTAGAAGACACCAAACTTGTGTGCATATAGCTTCTTCGCCAGTGAGACATAGGACGGTCTGTTTTGCACTTTTAAAAGTGGCCTGAAAATAGGAACAGGGAGAGTATACATGCAAGCAAAATGAAACGGAAACAGCCCGGTCACATCCAAACAGGTACCCCAGAAAGGACGCTTGCTCCGCAGGGT